TACACCAGCTGTCTGCAGCATAGAAACAGACCAAGAAGACAATCTTGACTCATCACAGAAATGGGAAGACAGTGTTCTCTCTCCTTACAATCTTGACAGTCCATATTACTGTCCGAGTGAGGTAGATGCTTATATATTCTCGGATTCATCCATTAAGTCTGAAGATAATGATCATCCATTTACAACATGCAACAGTCAACAGTCATTTCAAACCTCTGAGCTTCCTTCTGCTACTCATACTGCATCAGTGTCCAATGCACTTTTATTAAAAGAGGACGGTGAAACAATGAATAACGGCAAAAATGAGGATCTACATACTCAGGTTCATCCCGAGCCTTCGTCCCCCTCCATACCTACCTCATCTAGGGCATCGCCCCCCTGGAGCCCTGAGTTTTCATCTAAACAGAGTAAACCCAACAGTCCCACTTCCACAGAGATTCTTGCCAGTGACACAGCAGCACATTCCCCTGATCTGTCTACACTGAGCTCACCAAGTAGCTCCTTCAGCCTCCTCATTTCGCAGCCCTCCTCGCCAAACCTTCCAGAGAGAACAGAGCAAAAGAGAAATGATTCAGATGCAGGTTCCCCAGAAAGCCCTCCCATCAGGCTTTGGGACACAAGCAGCGATGGCGACAATGAAAATGTGCTGGATAATATGGAGTCAGATCTTTCTGAAAACAATTCAGAAGATAGACAACATATCTGTCTGACTCAGTACAGAAAATTTAGTCAGTGCATGAGTGGAACGGTTCCACACATGGTAAGACGTTTTGATATGCACATTGACATTTTAATAGATAGATTTAAAGGGATACTCCAAAATTCTGTCATCTACTTATGCTGTCACATATGTACATGACTTTTTTTCTTCAGATGAACATAAACACAAATTTTTTAGAAAAATAATCCACGAGAAGAGATGCGAAAGCACAGAGGACAGTCATTTCTTGTGTTTCACAACATGCATACATAAGTTCAAATTTCAAAATATACTTTGGGGGTCCCGTACACATGCATTATATGGACTCACAGAGATTTTATGATTTTTTCTGAAAATCTTCAGGTTCATCTGAAGGAAGAAAGTCATATTTACTCACCCTCATACCATGCCAGATGAATTTCATTTTTGGGTGGAGTATCCGTTTAATAGACAAAATATTGATAATATGGTTGTTTCATATCGGTACTCTGTGTATTCATCATTTTAACATGAATCATACAGTCTTTTGTGTTTACCTCAGCCCTTAGGACCAGAATTGCTGCAAGACACACCCTTGGGTCTCACCCTGAACATGCCAGAAAATTTGTGAATATTCTATAATACGAAATAGATTTCAGTCAGTCAATTTCTGTTTTTAACAGGATGACGATGGGGAAGACGAACACTATGGTCCCGCTGAGCCTCTATGCCGTCAGAGCCTTAGCTTGGTCTACAGCACTATTGAGGAAAATTACCCAGAAGGCACTCTTCAGCTGCTGTCTGACTTCATTCAGCCTCGGTATTACCCACCAGTGGATATTACGACACACCTGCTCAGGGGGATTTTCTTAAACCCACAAAGCCCTGATGTTTTAGTCATAGAGGCCTATAACCTATTGATGAAGACTCAGAGGTGAGTGTGATCACAGCTGCAACTACTTGGTTTAAAACAGTTATGGGAGTATGAACAATTTAAGTTTTCATGAAAAAGTCAAGTGTAAACCAGAGATGTTGCCCAACTCCTCCAAAAATGATGTGCAAAACGTACTATTCATGTCTATTTTATAAGTTGTTTGTTTTATATGTTAAGATACCATCCTGTGGATGCTTCTACAGTCCCATGCGATTGGGAACTGATGAAGTCAGTTATGAAAGAACAGGTATATACATTTAGCACTAAAAAAAATAGCTTTAAGTAATGTTAAAAATATTATTAAGTAATGCTTTGATTTCTTCAACATTCTGTGCTTCATTATTCCTGTCTTAAGGATGACGCTAGGAGGTTGCGGACAGAGGTCCAGTACATGCTCCTGCAATATGTGTTGCAGGTTTTAGAAGATGATTTTCATTTTAAACTCAGGTCTCAGTGTCTTCATCACTCTGTTGCAAAGAAGATGCTTTCATGTGGCAATGAAACATTTGGGCAAGTCAAGTGAGTTATATTCTCTATTGTTGGAGCCGTTTTTATTTAAGTCCCTAATTTGCAATTGGTTTTGGCTTGGCATAATCCTTTGTGATTCTTGTTCTTAGGGATATAATAGTTTGGATGATGAATGCTGCTAAGGAGTCAGTGAACCACTCAAAAGATGTGGAATATCCAAAGAATGAGGACAACTATCTTAAGTATATGAAGTGATAATTTTTGTTATCATTATACACTACCGTTCAAAAGTTTGGGGTCAGTAAGATTATTATAATTTTTTTAATTAAAGGGTTACTCCACCCCAAAATGAAAATTTTGTCATTAATCACTTACCCCCATGTCGTTCCAAAACCGTAAAAGCTTTGTTCGCCTTTGGAACACAATTTAAGGTATTTTGAATGAAAACCGGGAGGCTTGTGACTGTCCCATTGACTGCCAAGTAAATTACACTGTCAAGGTCCAGAAAAGTATGAAAGACATCGTCAAAATAGTTCACCTGCCATCAGTGGTTCAATATGAATTTTATGAAGCGACGAGAATACTTTTTGTACACAAAGAAAACAAAAATAACAACTTTATTCAACAAGTCGTCTCTTCCGAACCGTATGTATTCTGAACCGTAGCGCAATTTTGGAGAGTATCAACTGAACGCAAACTTTAAGCAGCAAAACTACGTTCATGATTGATAATATATTAGAAATGAAAGATTAGAGAAGCTAGTTTTTTTTTTTTTTTTTTGCTGCAAATTCATCTTTGCCATTGCAGGAATAAATTACATTTTAAAGTATATTAAAATAGAAAAGTTTGTTTAAAAAAATAAATAAATTAATAATATTTTACTCTTCCTGTTTTAATGTATTTTTGATCAAATAAATGCAGCCTTGATGAAAAAAATCTTACCGACCCCAAACATTGAATGGTAATATAACATAACATTTCTAACAGTGATATATTTTTACCGTGCAACAACAGCCTGTAAAAAACAGTTTGGATTGTCCTTTCTTTCTTTGCTAAATAGATACATTTACTTTATTTGTTACAGGATTGTGTTATCTCTTCAGAGGATGTTAACATTGGCCTTGGAGGTGGACAAGAACCCCAACTACAGTTCAGACAAACTCTCAGAAGAACTCTTCAGTTGTCTTAACAGAATGCATTCTTGCAGGCAGATAAGGTAAAAAAAAAACATAGATAATCAGTGCTTGCACTATTTTACATATTGCAATCATTTGACCTTTACTGAATGTTCTCTAAATGAAGAGTTTTTGCTGCTCTTTGTATTGTAACAGTGCATTTATGTACATTTCTAATTATGCTTTCTTTCTCATTGTGTGTGCTAGACTCTTGTTGCTGAGGACTCTGGATAGCAAGCTGCTGAGATGCAAGTTGTTGAAGCTGCTGTTGGATGATGCTTGTTCTCAGAAGACAAACTTGCCCATGTCTCTAAACTTGCTGCTACACTACCTCAAGAGCATCACACTGGCCTCAGACCCCTCTGTAAAAGATCATTGCACTATTATATTACAAATTAGCATTTTGCATTGTTATTCTACATAACAGCTGAACTCGCATGCTCTCCCTGCATGGTGTGCCAGGATGGAGCAGAGAAGTGGAGAAAATGGGATGAACTCCTTCAGCTTCTGTGGATGCTGATTCTCAGTTATGAAGAAGTTGTGACCGGTAAACAAACCAGTGCTAAAACAGCTTTTTCAGCTAATAAATAAGACATTTTAAGTGATCAAATATAGTCACCATTGTAGTTTTTTAATTTACCTTACTTTCAAACTTTGTTCCCCAGGTCATCTACACTTCACCATCACAAAGCGTTTTGATAGGAGGCATGCTCCTATTTGGACATTGGATGATCAAGTGAAATGCTCAGAAGTGCAAGAGGCAGTGGACACCTTCCTGTCACGTGCAGCCAACGATATCGGCCATGCTCTCTCCATGGAAATGCAGAATTTATTATCCCAACTACAAGAACACATAACTGACATGTCCAGCGTTACTACAAGTCATTAAACCTTTTATAATAACTTTATAAAATGTAAACTATAAATTTAATAAATTAATTTTTTTATACGATTTGTGTGTTTGTTTACTATGCAAACCGACCAAGAACAAATATTATTATTATTATGCACTCCCCAATGAAATCCATCTCATCTACAGGAACATATAACTGACATCATTAAACCTTTAATAATAACTTTTTAAAATAAATGTATTTTTATATTATTATTACTATTATTATTTTACTTTTCAGTCGCAGACATAAAATAATAGTCTAACAAAAACAGATGAATTCCGCACACTGCTATAGCCAGCAATTTATATTTTGATGCAACATTTTGGTCATGCATGATGCAACCTTCATCAGAAAATGATTTCAAATGTTGCATTAAAATGGTTTGCAAGCTATAGCAGTGTGGTATTTATTTTTGTTAGATTATTTTGCTGTTATTTATTCCTATGCACCTGCTTATATGATTTTCAATAAGTTGTGTGGAATTTCATTTATGTTTAGACTTAAATAATACAAAAATTAAAAAAGCTTTATGTTGTTTTGTGTGCAAAAAAAGTTTAGTTCACCCAAAGACGGAGTACCCAAATCATAATTTATTCATCCCTTAACAGTAAGTAAATGAAGATTCCCCCCCCTGCTCATTCACTGCAAATGATCTACATCAATAACATACACATTCAGAACATGTTCCATCCAAAACTTATAGACAACATTAAGAATGAAATGGTAGAATAAGAATAACTGCGTCCCAAATTCTAACGAGCTGCATACCAAGACAACATTTTTGAGCACCACAGATGCGTTCTGTGTAGGCAGCTCTCTAGGGGTTGACACTGGAACAGACAGCTCGATATGGGCACATGGACCCTTGTTTGGAGAGCAGCACAACAGCTGCACAAAAACCTTCCGCCATGATGCTGCGCTGCTTCCCGTAGCTGCACAGCCGACACGAACGAATGAATTAACGCCGAAGTGAGACACACAGCTGACTTCAGGAGTTGTTATGCTATTGAAGGTAATTCTGAAATATTCTAAAGATTTCCTGCTGACATGGGTCCCCGTTTGGTTTGTTTCCAAGTTAGCTATAGCTACACTAGTTAGCCTCTCTTTGTTCATATGCAGAGAATATTATATAAAATTGTTATTTTTAAAACATGTGCACCGTATTTCCTAAATATTTTATTGAACACATATACAAGTGTTAATTGAGATATAAATCTTTTAGAAGGCTGCTCCTTTAGCAGCCTGTGGCTAATGCTGATAGCATGTCAGGTTAACTTAGCTTTAGGAAAATATTACTTCTTCAGTAAACAGACGCAGTGGATGCTTATTACTTTTACATGTGTATGATTAACATGATATTTCATGTTATGTCACTTTGTGGAGACCGCGTTTTAGAGTATTGATGAGTTTAATTGGGTCATTAGCATAGCACAGAGCTAGTTGTTTATTAGCTTGCGTGCTTTGTTGCATTTCTACTTTCTGTTTTCTTTGACATGCACAAAATCGTATAAATATGATAATTAAATATTATTAGACTTGTTTCTAGTCTAATTAGCGTTGTAGTGTGTGTGTAACTGGTGTGTTTAGGTCTTGTAAGGAGCTAGTAGTTGTCAAGTTACGTTTGTTTTGACAGTTCCAGTTAGCCAGGTCATTTATCTGCCTGTTTATTTTTTTTACTTTTAATTATATGCTTGTTATATTAAAGTAAGACATTTGGGAAAACATTTTTACATTTTAAATGGTTATGTATCAGTGGTCTCACTAAAATATTTAGCTGCAAAAACAGTTTTCAACGTTGATAATAATAAGAAATGTCTTTAGACAAAATCAGCATATTAGAATGATTCATAGATTTATAGTTTTTGATTGCTTGCAAGACAGCAGCAACAATCACTACACAACATCCAGCAGATGCTATATAGTCCTAGTATTCGCATATGCACATTATACATATTATACTCAGAAAATTAAACGGGTGTAAATTGTGTTCTTGTTTGGATTGTAAACAGGCTTTGAGATGTCTTAATCATGTCATGCAAATATTTTTGTCTCGTTATATAAATCTGATTAAGTATTTGTCCCTTACAGTGGTCTAGGGATGCCCACAGAGAAATGTGACCCACCTGATTCCAGGCGGATGTACACTATCATGTCCAGTGAGGAGGCAAACAGTGGGAAAAAATCCATCTGGGATGGGCTTGAAATAATTGGTATGTCTCAAAGTAAACCCTCTGATAGAAATCTCAACTTCAGATCACTTCTGCAATGAAGTGAAACATATTAACAAAAGATATATTTTTATTAATGTTTGTTTATGTCTCAGGTAATGTTCGGAGTCTCAGCTCGGGCCTTTGGTCGCTCACTCACCTCACTGCTCTGCATCTCAGTGACAACTCCCTGTCACGCATCCCACCTGAAATTGCCAAGCTGCACAACCTTGTGTTCTTGGACCTGTCATCCAATAAGATCAGGAGCCTGCCAGCAGAGCTTGGCAACATGGTGTCTCTCAGGTGAGCTACTTGGAGCAAAAGCTGCGTTATTCTTTCCATGGATCATTTGTTCCACTTAATGTGTTTACAATACAGGGGGGAAAAATGGAAAAAGTTCCTTAAAGGGGTCATATAATGTTGCTAAAAAGAACATTATTTATTATTGTTGCTTTTGTTAAAATAATCACAAGATGGTCACAAGATAAATATTCAGATTTTTTCCCCAGTATGTTTTATCCAAAAAATTATGAACATTGTTGCATTTAGATACAGAAGAACTTTGCCTGTTGAATATTAAAAACAAATGAACAAACAAAAAGTCTGGATCTCCATGTCATGCAAATCAATCAACATTTTCCATGTAGTTTTTGTCCTAACCACCCGCGACAGCGACACGTGACAATAAGCGATATGGGATTCTATTTTAGGAACGTTTTTTATTTTCTGCAACGTCGCGGCAGGAACAACATACAAAATATGACAGTGATAATCTCTAGTAATGATTATGTGCTTTATTCAATGTTAAAAGTGTCTTATGTGAGTTTGAATATTATTTTGCGTTATCTTTATAGCCGTACGTTATAAATAGAACGAGTCAGCAGTTTACTGTCGGGGATTTTTCGTGTTGCGCCGTATCCAAGACCGCATCACTGATTATAACGAGTTCTTGTATTTTATTGTCGCGCCACTCGCGTCCGGTGTAGACACGATGTAAGTTAATGTAGCTTTCTGATGCTGCGTTTGAATTTTCATGCCACATTATTTGAAATTAGCGCGGGCCAAACTTTTTTCTCTCACTTTGAACGAGGCGTTTTAGGAGGGCGTGGACCAGTCTTAACTTTTATAAAGAATATCTCTTGGGGTTTGAGACTTTAGTCTTTTCAACTTTAGGGATCTTATCTATTCACGAACAGCTTGTAACGCTCCAAAGAGAAAGGAAAACTTGAAATCGCATCATTTTCATGAGCACACTTGATAAAACTAGATCACTCCCGACAGGGTTTCCACAGTCATGAAAATGTCAGGGAATTTTAAAATTGTGATTTGTTTTAAAATCCAGGATTTCCTTATTTCAGTGTTATAAATGTAAATAGTGAATTTAAGTTTCAGTTCTTAAAAACTGTTTTAATAACAATTATCACCTATAAATTGCTCTAACTGAGTGCAATCTTTATAAAAAGATTTGTTAACACTTTAAAATAAAGTTTCATTTGTTTACATTAGTGAGGCCTGCACTTTTATTACTGACCACTAGGTTTGAGCAGATGTATTTGTGATATTTTTTTCAATCTCCTTTTCTAACATTTTTTCCCTTTTATTATTGTATCTTACTGTATTCTATTTTTATTATATTTTTGAAATTGTACAGCACATTGGTACACTTTTAAAATGCTTTTTAAAATATATTTTGGTTTTATTTGAACTACATTAGTTGATATGAACAATACTTTTACAGCATTTATTAATTTTAGTTAATTTAAACATTTTTTAAATCAAAAGTGTTGCTGAATGTAAAATATAACATATAAATAATTGTATTTGCCATAAGTAACATTAGCAAAGATTAACAAGTGCTGTAAAAAATAGGTGTTTATTAGTTCATGTTAGCTAATTCAGTAATGTTGACAAATGTGAACATTATTGTAAATGTTAACAATGATTTAAAAAAAGTCCTTATTCAGTCATCACAAATGACATGAAAATTGTGATAATACATTGGTCAAGATTTTACTGAAGTTTTATTTATTTATTTTTTAAGTTTAGCATCAAGCACGCAGCTGGTATATTGTTAGTTTTCACTTTTGTTTCATGGTTTCCACAGGGAACTACTTTTAAATAACAACCAGTTGCAGGTTCTGCCGTTTGAATTGGGGAAACTGTTTCAGTTACAAACACTGGGTTTGAAAGGTGAGTGGTCATTGTTCTGGTGATTGACATTCTCACTGTGTAGAGAATGTTTCCTACTGATTGTTTGTGTGTGTCTCTGCAGGCAATCCACTCAGTCAAGAAATTATGACTCTCTACCAGGAGCCAGATGGTACCCGGCGACTGCTGAACTACCTTTTGGACAATCTTGCTGGTGCTATCAAGCGCAGTAGGTGTCACAGGCTAATTAACTGTTTAGGATATGTCTATAATTTTTTAAATATTTTTTGCTATAGTGATATGGACTGTTGTCCAAGGTTAATAATATTCACTGTTAGTGCTGCGCGTTCTATCAAGTATTCACAGTATGTTGACGAAGATTTTTTTTGGTGATTTCATGTGAAATTTCCCAAGGACTGTGTAATTTGACACTGTTTTCGGGCAAGTGTGTTATAGAGGTTTTAAAGGGCCGGTGTGAAAGAGTATAGATTTAAATTCAAAGAGACAAGATAGTCTGTGCATGACCTAATGTTTTATTAGTACCCAGAATGAGGTGAGATGAACATCACGGAGCGCTCAGTACTCTCATTCAGTGTGTGTTTCATTCATACTCGAAGCCGGAGTGCTCTCTCACGCAGAAAGTGCAAGACGGACTCATATAGAAGTAATAACTTACAACGTACCAGGAAATCCCTAATATGGACAAAAGCGTCCAGCTATCACTGTATGATCTGAATAAAAGGCAGAAACCTTTAGAAACGTGAAGACATTAAACACACAATTGCGACAATATATGGTTTATTTGTGCTTTTTAAAATCTCCAGGTAATAAATAAAGTATATGAACAATTCGGTGCTAATTGACATAACATTTATTACAGTAGGTTACAGAAACTATTCTGCCTTATGTGATAAAAATGAAAAAAAAGAGAGTTTGTAGTACATTAACAAATCATTTATTGGTTGTTGTCCAACAGTGTATCTGAAAACAGAGATCAAAAAGGTTACAATAAACAAAATGGCGTCAAACTCCTTACTTTCTCCCAACCCTCTATATTTACAATGATATACAACTATTTACAAGATCAGGCAAACAGAGTTAAAAGGAGAATCCAAATCCATGTCATAACAAGCAATGGGGTAAAAAACCGAACAGTTCCTACTTACAAAATTTGTATCTCTTTCAAAGATCAAACAATCCTCACTCTAAACAATCAAAGTTCAACTAAGAGAACACAGCCAAAACCCAACAACTCTCTCTCTCTCTCCTCTACTCTGCTCTGGAGAAAGGAAGTGACATCAGGGCTTTTAAGGTGTGCCTAGTTTTGAATGCACCAATCCAGCTGGGCCCATCATTAG